TAAAAACATAGATATTGTGCAATTGTCCAACAGCCAAATATTCAATTTGTTCATTTGATTTTTTCTTTTTTGACCAGTGTACTGTATGTACTCCGTCGTAGCTGCTGAATGGGGGGCCCGGAGCCTCGTCAAGCTGCATTTATGCAGCTTTTTCTTCGGCCTCCCATTCACCACTTGTATTTGTGGTGAAAAATAAAGTTCGTATCGTATCGTATCGTATCAAGCGTGCGCCTGCAAACTGTCAGGAAATCCCTGTTTCGCATGTCACATTTCAACTTTTTTCAAGGAGAAGTTTGGCGTGTGACATACAAAGTCCGGATATACTCGTGAATAGTGGTAGTAACATAAAATGGAGCGAGTACTATCACAAACAAGAGTGAAATTTTTCCGTACGTACAAGAAATGTGACCTGTGTCATTTTGGACGCATTGGAACATGTGAAGTACTTCGTAAAAGTGGTACATGTTCTCGCATGGCTTGCAACCGAACATCTGTTGCTGTGTGCCATGATGGTACATTTCCTGTAGCATACAGTACTTGTTCCGTGATGATGGTGCATGGAACTTATTGTGGCTGCCCATACAGCAACATGTCCCGTACTAAAGAAGTATGGAACATGTTCTGTAGTCCGGTAATACAGTACATGTTGTGGCAACAAGGTTAGCATGTATGTGTCCCATACTTTGAAAGGAGTTTTTCTAACAGTGTACACTTTGTTATTAGAGAGTTTTAGAGAACCATTTTTGCAGATATAATAAAAAGTACAATGGGCTTTCGGTAGTGCATGCGCAGTTGGCCCAACGTACCGCATCGGATGTGCAAAAACGGTTCACTAAAACTCTATATTAGTATACCATTTTTATTCCGACACGACGGTGCGTAGACTACGGCGGGGCATCGGGGCTCGTGCCCCCCCCCCCCCCCCATGCCCCTGGAGAGATGCGGGGGGGGGGGGGGCAGAACCCCCCCCCCCCCCCCCCCCCTTCGCGCACGGGCCATGATCCTTACCTATAGACGCTGTTTACGTGCCATGTAACGAGCTTCTAGTAGTGGCTTGTAAACAAAATAACGCCCACGTTGCCTTTATTGACAAAATACATAGGAAATGGAATCCCAACGTGCTTTCGTTAGCTTCAGTCTCCAGTTCTGGCATAGTGAGATGGTGTAGTATAAAAATGAAGTAGGATTATTTTATTTCGTGTTCTTTGTCCTTTGCTTACTCAAATATATTTGGTAGTGTGCGAATACACGCTACCGAACGAGATATTTAATTTGTAGTACTTTTCATTTGACATTTACATATAATCATCTCTTCATAGCATTGTCTCCGTTATAACTTGGGATGCGCTATATTATTGAAGAAATGACTGTACCTGCCTCACGACGCCACCGGCGACTAGTCTTTGTTCAAAAAGACTTAAAATGTTTATTCAAAAGAACAAGGCTTTTATTTCCACTGCTAGTTTTTTTACAAAACAAAAAGATCAATCGGTTCCAAGGGCTGCAGCTTTAGATCCAACAGAGAGATCTTTTCTGAACTTTAACATTTTCAATGACCCGAAGATCTGGAGGTCCTGTTAAAAGAGGTTCGAGTGAATATTGTTGTTGCATAATAATAGCAGTGTGTCCATTCTAAGATGGGCAAGTTTCTCAACAAAAAGACATAACTAATTTCCGGGCAATTTATCAGTGCAGAACAAACAAAAAAGAAAAGGGCAGTGATCTATTTTACAGTTCTAAATGCGGTTTCATATATAGCAACCGCCGATAATATTGTAAAATATTTTAATGTATAATGCGTTTTTTTAAAGGCTAAAGTTGAGAACCTGCAGATATTCCCTTTCGTTTTTTATTTGTAATTTACAACTCACCAAAACATGTAATTCGGTGAATGGTTGTTCGATCCTTAATGGGGCGGTGCAACGATATTCAATTGATATGTTTTTCACTTTACACGAGCTTACTGGCACTGGTGGGACTCAAGGATACTCGCACGCAACGACACTGACCAAGAAACTCCTTTGTTGCGCTGTAATTTCGAGGACAAAACCGAGTGTTTTCATTCAATTTCTCCTTCGCAAAACCTGATGACGTAGCTGGGCGGTAGCAGTACCGCCCAGTGACGATATTTGAATGCGGCTCATAAATTGGACCCGAGCATGGCGTGGACACTCGATTTGGGCTCGTGATAATCGATAGCTCGAGAAGCATTCGGGTAGTGTCCTGTGTCCAATCGCTGCAATGACGACAACAGCCGAACCATAACAATGTCTGGAGCTCAGCGCTTGTCCTGTGCCTTGCCAACCCCAGCGCATGGCTATGATCAAAATTGGCGGCATATAATCGGCTCTGGATCACGTGGCCGCTTGTTCTGGCTGCGAGTTGAGGGGGTAAATTCTGCTCGTTTTTCTTTATTTTTTACTGCGACTTCAATTGCGTGTGGAGAAAAATGAACGGGTATTTCACAGGTCATTAACATCAGGGGTTCGTTCTAAGCGATATTTGCGCAAAATACAAAAATCGTTGCATCGCCCCTTTAACCTGGCGTGAGATTAGTAAAAAAAAGTGTCTATGTGAATTTAGAAGTTTATATGGGGGAGTTTCATTAACCTACAAGATTGAGTGCCAGGCTACTTAGGCACATTCTGAAGACCAGTGCTTCAAAAGCTTTAGTTACTGGCGAATTTAGGTATTTATTATTGACTAATTATTTTTTTCCTGTCCTAATATGAGCTGTGGTAGTAAAACACTGCTTTGTATATGTGTTCTTACAGATGTCGTTGGGATTAACCTTGATCAAGGAACCCGAATAAAAAGACAGAAGAAAACATACGTAAACAAAAAGGTTATTCAGCTAATTGCCGAAATGTGGAATTTAAATGGAAATGCAAATAGATATAAGATATTTTTACTTTAATTTGACAGCATGGGTCACAGATATTAATGCATCGGATGTTGCAAGACCAGTCGACCTCGCCGCAGACAAAATTGTCTGTGCATGACTGATTATTCCCTTTAGATGTGCGCGATTAGTCAGTTGAACTGCGCAAAACAACAGCCCCAAAATACTCGGCCGAGTTTTTACAGCGCATTTTTTAGGCGCCCGTTTCCGGGGTGAGCGGCGTCGCCGTCGGCGTAACCGCGTGACGTCACCTGTGACATCACGAGGGCAACGAATGACGTCACGAGGGTCACCAGTGACGTCATGAGGAGAAAGATTAAGGTCACGAGCGTCACGAGTGAAGTCATCCTCGTGATGTCACACGGGCATATCCTCCCCTCCTCCCCCTTAAGAGCTGCGCTCTAATTCGGCCTCACAGAAAACTGTAAACGTCTTTAATTTCTTTTACGCTGTATGGTTTACGCTGTTACAATGATTTTAATGGTGAGGTCCAGTGCCATCTTTTTCAACATTTTACGGTCGTCGACCGTAAAATGTACGGTCAAATACCAGGCAGCTCATGCTGCCGAAATCGCACTTTAAAAATAACGGCGCGCTGTAAATCTGGATTACCGTAAATTAAAATGGCGACCGTAGATTTCTACGGTCAGCGTTTTAATTTATCGTAAATCAGATTTACTGTGTACCGTTATGTTTACGCTGCCTGGTACTTGACCGTAAATTTTACGGTCCATTTTTTTACAGCGTATGTTTAACCAATTAGGCCATCAAAATATTTTCTTACGTCCAAAACAGTTCAGTGCTTGAGCCAGGGAAAGCAGACGAGCTATAGACCATATGCAAAAAGAAGCGCCATTTAGTGTATCATGATGAATTATTAAATTTCCTGCATATTGGAGGGTTCCCGTACCGATAGTTTCGCCCGAGAGACAATGAACTTAGTAAAGTGAGAGTCGTAGAACTAAAATATGATCACCTGCTGCAAGTTCAGTACAAAGCCTTCGCAGAACGTCTTCAATAAATGCCGTTCACTGACCTTGAGTGACGAGTCTTACCACCTCGTTGCTGACAATTCCTTTTCCAGAATTTCGCGGCAGTCTTTGTTTTCTTCCTTGAACCGAAACTGGACAGCACTCCCTTGAGTGCACAAACAAATTATCCGAATATCATACCGAATATTATAGTTAAATGCAGATGCGCCTCTTCCACAACTATACTCCGTTTTACCTTATGTTGTACCGCAGCGAAGGCTAGAAGCGCGAGCTCATAGCGTTGACAGTTTCCCTTAATGCACGAGAGCTTGTGCCGCCGAGATCTGCCTGAGAGCAAGGAGCTCGCGCTCGTAGCCTTTTCTGCGGTACATCATAAGGCGAAACAGAGTATAAAAGATGTAAAAAAAAAAAAACAAAAAGGCGGCTCTTACTGGCATGATGATGATAGCTGGCAAGAATTTTGCATATGGCCTATACTGGTCCTGAACGAATTGGGGAAGGTTCTAATACCCTTGTTACACGGGGGCACTGACCGCAGTTATGCCGAGACACAGGCTCAATACTTGCGGACAACATTCTGCGGCTATGCAGTCAAAGCTATGGGCGAACGTGCGCTCGAGCATCTTGAGCACCCATCGAAGCAGTGCACGCGCGCTCTTCACTTCTTCTGAAATAGCTGTCCGAGAGTATAGTGTGGTAACTGTGGTGCCACGTAACAGCAGTTAAAGCTGATTTAACCGCGATAAGTTGACGAGCTAGGCTTGCTCAAAACGGTTAAGGGGTTAAATCACGTCTAATTATCAATCTGAATAAGACATCCGGCCTCTATCCCTTTCTGTTCGATAAAATACATTTTGAAAGAACGAGTCATGACTTTACGTGGAGGTTGAGGACCCCGAGGCTGTTCAGAGGCTTTGAATTTGGCTATTTTAGGCAGTGTTGAGTAGGGGCGCCTAAACGGTTCTCACTTTGACTGCTGCAAGCTATCTTTGAGTGGTAACGCACTCATTATCAGCAGCCGAAGACGTGCTGGCTGTGCGCGTGCCCGTGCGTTCCACTCCGCCATTCGTCGGGGCATTCAGGGACCGATATAACCGACCTGCCAGATGCTGCAGGCCGAGGAGACCCTGGCTGCCCGCATGCACGACAACTTGCAGCAAATCGAGGTGGGGCACTCCCAGAACCAAGAAAGGATCAAGGAGCAGCAGTGGGAGGTGGCGCTGCTGATGAAGGAGAGGGACGACCTCTCTGTCTTGTTGGCGACTTTCAACAACGCCAACAAGGAGTTCCAGCAGACTCGTATCTTGGAGCAACGGCGCAAGCGCATCAAGGAGCTGGATGAACGCGTTGCGAAGCTGCGAAAGAAAGTCCAGGAGCAGGCCACGGTGATCGGGCCGAAGGAAGAAGAACGAGATGTTAGGAAACTCAAGGAAGAAATCCTGGAGATGAAGAAGACGCGCGTGCGGCTAATGCGCCAGCTCAAGAAAGAGTCGGAGCAGCACCGCCGGGCCCAAAGGGAGCACGACCGCGAGGTGAGCACCCTGCGGCTGCGCGAGCATCAGCGGGTGGCACAGGCGGCGCGGCAAGAGCGCCAGAGTGGCCTCAAGATCAGTGCACTGCAACGGAGCATGGAGGACGCGCTGGTGGACAAGTCGCGACTGGAGGCGGCACTGCAGAGGCAGGAGATCGACGCCGGCAAGACGGACCCCCTGGGGGAAATGGCCCCTCGCATCTAGGGCACAGTTGAGCAGGAGCTCGCTTTTTCAGTGCGCAAACGATCGGAGCAGTTGCGGACTGAACCGCCAGGCGCGCAACGCCAACACAACACCACTCGTGAAGGTGCAGTCGAAGCTCCTGGAGGCTGAGGCCAAGCTCCGGGAGCTTCAAGAACGCAAGGAACGGGCGATCAAGGGACTAGAGTTGCAGCTACTGGTCACTAAAAAGGAGAACCGAGATCGAATGCTGTGCCTACTGAAGCACTTCACGAGTACGTCCTGGGTAAGACCCCCACACTGGAGGCCTCCCTCGTCGAGAGGCTCAAGTTGCAGGAAAAAAAAATCTCTCGGCTACAGGCCGTCCATAAAGAACTTGAAAAAAACAACCAAAGAAGCTGAGCAACTTAAGAATGAGCTTAAGCATGCCAGAAGACCTGTGCTGGGGGTTGACTACTCCGTCAAGACAGATAATCCTGCCAATCCCAAGAGGGTCGTGCCAGTAGCCACGAGCGACCTCCTCTTTGGAGACAGTCTCGATGTCTCGGCAACGGCGAGGACGACCCGGACTGTTCCGGGAGTCAGACACTCCATCAGACGAGCCACGCGTCCTTTTTTTATCGTTCCCCATCTGAGGGTTTACAAGTTGTCTACTAGAGGAACTCTCATTAAAGAGATGAGTCGAAACTTATAAAATACCTTTCTTGTTCAGATACAAGTTAAAAATAATGAACTATATCTGCTAATGACAATCGCACGCCCGTTTTCAAACGGATGGTCTAACCCTAGTCGAACGCCGAAAGTTCGACCTAAAAATCCAATTCGACAAAAGTTTGCGAAGTGGCGATTAGGATTTTCGCGAAGTTTTGTTGAACCGGATATATAGGTCGAAACCCCCCCCCCCCCCCCCCCCCCCCCCCCCCCCCCCCCCTACACTTTTCGGGGTTGCACCCTGCAAACTTTCAACCAGATTCGGCCGGTTCGACTTTGTGGACAGTGTGGCCAGACCTTGTCTAGGTTTGGAGAATTATTTTTTTTTATGCAAAGGTTTTTTTTAGTCTTATGAACAGTTGCAATTAAAATGCACTAATTGTAATCACTGAAGAAGTTATTAACTTAATTTTTTGTACTGAATTAACCGAAATAGCCAATCAGTGCTGCCCTTAATTCATCCCTTAGCCATCAACACCCAATCCAAAACCAACTGGCCAGCCTGTCGCGCATGCGCATAACAGTCGAACCTGAGTCGAACCTGTGTCGAACTTTTCACAAGAAGGTCGAAAAAGTCGAACCTGATCGAAGTCGACCCTCGACCGGTTCGCGACACCCCTAGTGGCAATAGGGAGTTTTTCAACAGCGCACTCTAAAGCTTTGCGTACGCAAAGAATAGCTTCGTCGCCACTGCGCATGCGCCGAACGCTAACCACGTTTTGCGCTTTGCGTGCACTCTTTTATCGTACGATATTTTTCGGAAATTTCGTGCGTACGCAAAGAGTCTGGGGTGCGCATTTTCGGCACCGATTTGTAGTCCAGGGGGCGCGGCCAATGACGACAAGGACGTTCAAATTTTATTTGGTGTTCTTCGACGTAAACACGTTTTATTTTGGATGCCGCCGACTGCATTTTCAAACGTCGGTCGGTCGGCGAGTGTTTGCGCGTGGTCGGGTGCTCGGCAGCTCGGTGTACTCGTTGGTGTGTGTCACGGTGGTGTGTGTCGACGTGCCGCCTGTGCTCGTCGCGTATCACTTGCCGACATCCAGAAACGGTGTTTTCCAATTTCGTTCGCCCGGTGCCGTCGGTCACTCCTGTTGTAAAAGAAGAGTCGTAGTGACTACAGTATCGTCCGACGGCCCTTTTGCAGAGCGTTCAAGTGCCGCCCGACGGTACTCCTCCGACGGTACTCTGTGTTGAGTGCTGTTCGAAAGTCGTATAAAACGAATTGTCCAAACGAGATTTTCGAAAATACGCTGTGCAAAAGAGGTGTACAGCTCTATTAAAATGACATGAATGTTGCTGTAACTACCATGCAATAAAGAAAAAAAAATGTTGTAGCGTAGCTTAGCGATTCTGTTTCCTGCTGCCGATAGCGACAGTCGCAGAATGACTAGCTCCTCCGGAGCGGCGATAACAGCCCTTGACGGCCGCGGTAGTATGTCTTTTGCCACCGTACTTTCTACGGAAGAATACAGGATCGTACTGCCACCAGTACCTACCGCTGCAACCTGCGTCAACACTGTCCTGCTGCATTGTGACCTCAAGGGGCGTCCATACGGGATTGAAGACTTCCGCCAGGAACTGAAGCGCACCGCTATTTTGTCTGATATCGTCTCGTTGGGCGCATATCAGATGAATCATGTGTGGCTGGCTACCCTTCGGACGCAAGAGGCCAGGGAGCGCCTGGTGAACTTGGGGGAGCTGACCATCAACAACCTACGGTGCGTCGTCATCGACCCCTGCTCCACCGAGGTGCGGCTTCGGGTTCACTGGGTCCCCTACCACGTCCCCGACGAAGCGGTGAGCGAGCTCTTTGAGCCATATGGGAAAATGGGCGAAGTATGTCGCGAAAAGTGGCGTGTCGAGGGATTCCAGGGCATCGAATCGACGACGCGCATAGTACGCATGACGCTAAAGAACGGTGTCACGCCGGACAGCATGCCACACCAGTTGAGGCTTCAGGGAGGCAACGTCCTCATCGTGATCCCCGGACACGCGCCCGTCTGCCTTCATTGTAAGCGCACCGGTCACATAAGACGCAACTGCCCCTCGCCAAAGTGTTCGGTGTGCTATCGTTTTGGTCAGCACGGCGACGAGTGTGTCAAGACTTACGCCGGCGACACCGGTGGAGCCGTGACGGACGACCTTTCACCCTTGACCATGGAAACAGAGGAGGCAGAGCGGGCTGTCCAAGGACTGGGACACGTCGTTCAACTGCAGCCTGATGAGCAGCAGGGGCTCCGCGTCGGAGACGCCACACTCCCACAAGTCATCGTGGCGAAAGATGCGGCCGGGACGGCTCACGTCGCTTCTATGCAAAGTCCAGGTCCTTCTCCCTCTGTGGCGACGTCGTCCATGGGCGTCAAGGTTTCATCTACGGCCTGTTCCGTGACGACCAATAACACTCCCAAAGGCAACGAGGACATGGACGAGACGACGGACTCCATCAAGTGGGGCCTCGAAGAGGCGGACCCGACGACGGGGATGACCCCCAACCCCAACCCGTGGGTAGGGGTGGGCAAGCGCGTTCGGCACAAGGCGGAACATAACGTTCCCCCAGACGACCGACGACCCCACGACAGCAAGTAAGGCGGTAACGCCTGGTATCAGGGACTCCTTTGCGAGGCTAAAGCAAGTGCTACACCACGCCCTGCATGATCTGTACGCCCGGCACAGCCATCAAAGTCGCAACGCTAAATGTTCGAGGACTAGACACGCGCAGAAAACAGTACCAAGTACAGCGTCTGCTCATCAAAGAGAGACCCGATTTCTTAGCGGTGCAGGAGACTAATACCCCTGTCAGACGGGCTAGTTTAGTCACTACAAGCGAGTGCACTTCGCCCTTAGTGTCATTTCTATAGTGTGCCACACGGCTCCTTCCTGAGGAACACACTTGGCTCGGAGTGAGTTTGACGAACTCACTTCGCTCAATCGGGTGCGTGGCATCAATAGGTGTGTTTCAACAGTAAAACATAACACAGAAACCAAAAGTGTGGCGTAAGTTTTATTCTATAAAGAAACAGAAATTCGTGAAAGAGAGGACATGTAGAAAAGTAGCATTGCAAAAAATGGTGGGGTGGACTTGGAGTTTAGGCTAACAAACAAATTGGTCGTTAGTTGTTTATACAGCAGGAGTTTAGTCTGCCAGAACATGGCGACATTGTTACCCTCTGTAGATGAGCAATTTAGCCAGTGCGGTACAATCGCTAGCCTGGGGTCTTTAACGCGCACCACGCAGTAGCGATACACGACCGCACGCCGGTACGATGCTCATCCAGATCGAAACGGGCAGGGGTGGGGCTCGAACCCAGGATCCCTGGGTTCTGCAGCGCGAGCTTTCGCTCCACGTGCGTCGAACTGGGTGTGCGCTTTAGCCCACTCGGCCACCGATTCCTTTTTTTTCTTTCTTTATTACCGGGAAAAAGAACACACTCATAGGCACACTAGAACATAGGAACAAATGGCCCGCCTTGCATGGCAAGCGTCCTGGGGTTTAAATTTTTCGCATGGTTACGAGTACTTCAATTTGCGGAAGCCACTCGGGAACACTTTCACGAGCCTTGACGAGTTCAAGAAAAGAAATAATGCTCTCACGGAAGTACTCCTGTGCTTCTCGTGCGTCACTGTCAGCGTGGCGCACGGCCAACTCGGCCACCGATCCCCCTTTGGAGTTTAGGCTGATCTGAACCAAGATTAGCGCAGCGTGAATTGATAAAAGACGACGACAAAGTCAGTCATTCAATGGCTATCTTAGCAGAGAATGATGGAGCCTACATTTATTTCAGTATGGAACTATTCGAGACAACAGGATAATTATGACCTATACTCCGCGACAACTTTTCTTGGCAATGCAGTTGAAGGTACAGGCTCGCGTCCCCTCTCCCATTTTGAGTGTACGCAGGCTCTCCTCCTCTCCCATTTCCGGGGAGAGGAGGAGAGCCCGCGCACATTCAAAATGGGAGAGGGGACGCGAGCCTGTACCTTCCACTGCATGGCCAAGAAAAGTTGTCGCGAAGTATAATTAGGCAGTTTCAGGGCCTCCTCGTAGACTTCCATGGAACGAAGCAGAACGCCAAAGTTGGATATGCTTCGTTCTTTATCTTGGCTTGCGAGGATCGATGAGATTTATCCAATTGGCATAAAAATCATTCATTAATGTAACGTTGTTTTATAGCACAGCTCCTAGGAACTCGTTTCTGAGTTGAGCGGCGTCGGCGTAACCGCGCGTTGCATTAAGGGCTGTTTCCCAAAATCACGTCACGTGTGACGTCACGAGGGAAACATTTCTCGCTAAATTTCGCGGTAAAAGGTTTTGCTAAGCTTGGTGGAAAATTTTTCTGCTAAATTTAGTGGGCAAATTTTACCCGTGTGACGTCACGCGACGTCACATTTAAAATTTCAGGTGACGTGTCATGTGACGTCACACGTCAATTCAGCGGGAAAATTTCCTGGCTTAATTTGGCGGGAAATTTAGCGAAAGTTTTACGCTAAGTGGGATGCTAACAAGAGAGGAGGATAGGAGGGTACGGAGGGGGAGCAGCTGGCATACCCTCCTTTTCGTACCCTTCCCCCCTCCTCCTCAAGAGCTGTGCTCCAATTCGGCTTTACAGAGAATTGTAAACGTCTAATTTTTTAACGTGTCTTTATTAAGGGGTAGCGGTGGTCGAGTGGGCTAGCCCCCCCCAGATCGGAGTACGTGGAGAAAAAGCTCGCGCTGGAGAACCCACTGATCCTGAGCTCAATCCCCAGCCCTGCCCGAAGAACACACTACCAATGAAGTGAGTTCGGGGAGCACACTACGCTCGCTCCGTTAGACCAAGTGTGTAATCTCGATAGCAGTGTTCACGGAGTAAAAATAATAGAAGAAATTAACGCTGCGTAAAATTAGTATTATTTTGATAGGAGTAATATTAGATGCGCACTTGTTTTTTATTGGCAGGAAAGTAGTTCACCGTAGAAAAACAAGCGGCTAATTTAGTTTAAAGCCTTGGCTCCTGCGCAACGGCCAGCGACGGCCGGGAGGCACCTGCAAGACTCCACCAGGAATCTCAAGGTGGCAGGAGAGACGCGAAAGGCTTGCTTGAAATGGAACTCGCCCAAATGAGGCAAGGTGTCTTCGAACCACAGTTCGTTCCTCTGGAAAGTCCACCGTTCTTGACTGATCACGGGTAGGTTGTCGGTCATGAGAGCGGGCGGCTATGGTGAAGGCATTGGCCTGCAGCTGCTTATCGATGTCACTTGAAATTCTTGCCTGTGCGTCGGCATCCAGGTCCAGCTGCCTCTCATCTGAAAGGCGTCGCGCTCTCACGGAGAAAAGTGCCCCAACCACGCGCGTCCACTGTCCAACATCGCGGATATCGCCCTCCACCTCGTCGTCCACACACTCCATGATGTTTCGTTGTGGCGAGTGGCGAGTGGCCGAGTGGGCTCGCGCACACTGGCTCGGAGCACGCGGAGCGAAAGCTCGCGCTGCAGAACCCAGAAATCCTGGGTTCAATCCCTACCCCTTCTCGTTTCTATCTCGATGAGTATCGTACCGGCGTGTGGACGTGTATCACTGGCTTGTAATGGCTGATCCTAATTATCAAATTGGATTTAAATTTGGATTAAAGCTCGTGACTTAGCGCAACAATGTGTGGTAACGTGTTTCTAATAAGTCGCTGAAGGTATTTATGAAAAAATGCGTATGCACTGTAATATTTTGCGTGCCCATTGCTTACCCATCGTCGTTGCCATCATTTTGGAGTGACACTAAATTTTCCCGTGTAGCACCAACACACTTGGAGTGGGAAAGAAGACGACAGCCTGGCGTCTTGGATAGCTAGGTTCGACATTGTACATGTACCTTTTTTTAGTACACGGAAGTGACGTCATCACGTCTGATTGGTTGGAAACAAAAGTGACGTAATTTCCCTAGAAAAATGTGGGCGGAGTCGGCTATCGGACGTGACGACAAAATGACGTTTCGTTTTGTACCGAGTACGTTTCAAAAGGTACTTGCTCGGAACTAGGTGTCATTGGCAGCATGTTTTCGGCGGTGAGGCGTCGCCGTCTCGTCAATTCGACTTTTTCTTTAATAGAGCTTTTTTTTTCGCCCGAAAGGCTGTATCGGGAACACCGCGATGCATTCGAGCTCCCGGAGAAGATCTTTCGGAAGCAATACCGCCTGCCCAAGATCGTGGTGCGGTGGTTGTGCGACGAACTTCGCGAGGAACCGGAGGTGAGGAGAGTGCGTACCTCGTGGACGGTCATGACTGTGGAGCTTCAAGTGTTGTGTGCGCTGCGCTTCTACGGCACGGGGAGCTTCCAAGGGATGGTGGCGAGCGACGAACACGTAGCGCGGGACCAAAAGACAGTCAGAGTTGCGGTCCGCACCGTGTCCGTCGCTATCGTGCGTCGTCTCGGGGTCCAGCGTGGCTGGATCAACTTCCCCGAGACGCCGAGCGAGAGGTTCGACGCGGAGAAGGGCTTCAGGCTGCTCGGCAGGATACCCGGCGTCATCGGTTGCGTGGACGGGACCATGGTCTCCATCGTCGGCCCTTCCAAGAACGACCTTACCGTCACGAAGGCGGCGTACTGGTGCCGCAAGTACTTCTACGCCCTCAACGTGATGGTGGTAAGTACACTCATGTTACGTTGTCAAAACACGCCCCAAATCTGTAGAGAAAAAAAAAAAAAACGTATTGCCGATACGGTTTAAGTATGCCGTTTTATGACTGCGGGCTGTGGGGTCTCACGACTGCGCGAGCGTGTGCTCTACATAGCATGTGAGCCGTGAGACGCTTCTCCCAAAAATAATACTTGTCTGTTAAAGCTTCCGTAAAAAACAAAAACAAAAAAAAAACGTTATTTTTGTTTCAAGGTAGTTAGTTGTACCTTGCATCCAGGAAGGTGTGTTGACATGCATGTGTCGGACAAAATAACTTAAAAGGTTCTGAAATTACGACTGCTTTGTGAACCATAAGTACAATCTATTACTTGTGGATTCAGGAAATTACATGTCAATATCTCTCGCACTTTCAGCTGTGTGACGCCGACTGCCGGATAATGTGCATCGACCCACGGTATCTCGGGTCGGTGCACGACTCCTTCGTGTGGCAATTTTCCTGGCTCCGAAACCAACTCGAGCAAGGAGGTGCCACGCGACGGCCGGTTCCTGCTTGGTGAGCATACTAAATTCATTCCTTACGCACACGGTGGCTCCCACTGCTTGAAAGCCACAGTACCACACGTACTGTGCTTGTTGTGAGGCACACAGACACAGTTGCTGGAACTCCTTGAAGTGAGACAACACCTAAAGTTTGGCCATTAATCTCTGTTTATGTCCACATAACTCTCACACTCTGCAGGCTACGAAAGCCACACTACACCTATCTCACGACAGTGATAGACTATGCAAGGCATGCGACCGCAGTGCGAGTCGCTGTCCGGTTCGGCCCACTCACTGTTACTGTCTGCCTGTACCCGCTTGCTGGTTGGTTTTTGCATGAAGTTGGAGCTCTTTCGCTGATACGTGGGGGCTCGCCTGGTCGCTTTGACGGTCGTCAGTTTGTACGGAATGGGATCAATTCCTCCTTGGCCACTT